GGATTTGCACTTCCACAATGCGTAAATGGCTTGGACCAGATTTTTATGATTAAGGGAAGAGTTGCTGACGGCATCGACGAAGTCACACTGTGCAATGGTAATGAAGATAGTTTTCTATACTTAACAGTAGGAGAGTATAATAATCCTCTTTTTACACTAAGCTACCGTTTTTCCCAAACCTGTGTAACTCACAAGATGGCAACACAAGTAATCGGTATTTCTGGGACGTGGATTCTGTGCAGTGGTAAATGAACGCAACGTCGACAACGAAAAATCTTAAAATGATAACAGACGCATGTTTGTGGATGGCTCGGGTTGTCTACAAACAGTCTCATAAAGATATATTTTTACATGGATAAAATGTACATCCATCAGCTACTAAAAGCTGAAGAAATATTTCTTCACGCGTTTGTGACATCCATTGGTCTCCGTTGACATTTTTCAAGTTACAAAGTAGAGACTTCAAGGAGAAGTTAATAATGCCGACTAGAAAGATAGGGATTACCCAGCGCCTTTTAACTCTTAATGGGTTTATGTCGCAATCTATCTTGCTCACCAACTCAGCTCTGTCTGGCGCACTCATACACTACTGCACGCAAGCAGTTTTCTTTCGAGACCATCAGAGATGCGAACTGCACATCACGCACTCGCTTTCCTCTGTTGTTTGAGGTAACACACACATGGACAGAACTAATTGTAAATTACGCCTAGGTTTGTTAAATACTGTAAACTGGTGGTACTGAGCTTGTCCCGTAATCTTGCGGCGCAGTTTCGAATCCTCGTAGGGGTGGGCGTTGTTGTGAAATACTCAGCCCGCGTGCGACTGGTGTTGGTCGCACGGCAGCAAAGCACCGTTACGGCATACAGCTGACACACTATTATTATTTATTTTTGTTAAGTATCTTCTAAGGTGATTAAATTTGTGGCTTTTCCAGCAAATTAAAATAGACCAATGAATAAGTAGGAAAACCATGCCATCTATCACCAAGCTACTTATGAGAACTCGCCAACAGATAAGTCAAGTTAGCTCATTCAATATTTTACTGTGCAAAGGACCAAAGTGGTTGACACTTATTTAGGCTCTATTGACAACTTTGATTCATTTTTGGTTGTGTTTACATAAACAACTGATCTCATCATAGATGGAAATTGGGTATTGCCCACCCGAAAACACTGCACAACCACGACGCGTTTCGATGTAATTTCATCTCATCAGGTGGAGACAGCAGGATTTGAACCCAGGACCATTGGAATAGCAGCCAACACTACTACCCCTTTGGCTACCGGGTCACGATGGGCAATGCTTGACCCTCCAACTGAGCTCATCATTTACATTGCTTTAGACTTGGGCGTTTAATCAGTAGAATTCACCAGAAAACCCCACTTACATCATTAAACATCCGACATATTAAGTTGCATGTGTATTCATGAATGTATTACGGTTGCGTCGGACGAGTGTCTTAGAGGTGTTGGGGAATTGCAACTTATATCAACTGTTAGTGACGAAAATATTTTCAATGGCATTTGTCGATCAGAAGTTGGGCTTTTTGGATATGTTGCATGTTTATTCTCAGTGATTAGGCCACATTGATAGCACTGATTAAAGCTCTCCTTAATTCGTCTCCTAATGCGGCCAAACAATTTACTGTACGACAGAATATCCGTAAGGACTAAAAAACTGCTTAAAACCAACAGTTACCGTGTTGCGACAAATAGGCCTGTTTGCGTGCTACACGATTTGTTCACACGCTGGACTGTTTTCTGCTATTGTTGTGGGTACCAGAAGACCCGGTTTAAGCAGTACGCTTATCATGACCGTACGATTTCGTGGCAACCACCAAAGGAACAGAATGACTCCTGAAGCTAACTGAAAACAGAGAAGAGTTCACCGAGTCCTTAGCAGATTCACTTGAATGTAATATGCAACCTCTTGCGATAAACAGTTTCACTGGTCAGATGGATTATCGTAAAGTGACTATGCGGTGAGTTTGAGCGCATAAAACAAACATGACAGTGCACGTGTGCCGCAGGGTGCACTAGATCCTTACAGTCAGTTATCCATCAAAATGCAGCTTGTCAATCTAGTGTTTAAAAATATGTTGCCTAAAATAGGCAAACCCTATTCCGTTTGCCCAATTGCTCTTGTTTTTTTTAAAATATAAATTCGCTATAAACTTGCAATTCACTTTTCCAAACGCTCAACGGCACTTTGAACAATCCACGTGAGATAGTAATCGCTTACCTGTATTGCTTCAAGAAGATGGTAAGTCACTGGGTCTTTATTGTCCATTAGGAACTGTGAAAAGGTTTTCAATAAGGTCGGTAGATGTTGTTGGACAGATTCAATGAAATATGCACGTTCTCTGGAATCTTGTGTGTAAAACTTTTGCATGTAATGCATTTTTAGCAAGTTGGCTGCAGATTCACGACATCTGTTGCTCTGTTGTGTGGACAAATTGGCTGACAGATGCTTTGGTATTAACTGATGCATTGAGTAAACAGGATGAGCATAGGGCACCACGTCTTGTACATCAGTGTGCCAAGGCTGGTCGTAATCGTCTTCGTTCCTTGTCGGTCCACAAGAGTGCTGACTTGGGGAAATGGGATTAGAAGCTCCGAAACTTTGGAGCATCTCGTAGGTTGTCTGTAGATTTATCGGAAGAGCTTTCATTACTGAAGTTAATTCATCCTCACTGAGATGACGTCTGATGGCCTCTAAGCAATAGGCACCACTCAGGGAATCTCTCCTCTGCAAACGTTTGCCATCATGCTCCAGCAGGCACATGACCACTATCAACACATCTTCTTGCGCCAATTGTGCAGTTGGAAAACATTCGAAAATTTTATGGATCGTTTCAACTGCTCTTTTCAGAAATACGTCATTTTCTCCCCCATAAAGCACGCGGGATATAAAGATTTTCAAGGTAGGTCCCAAGTTACCGGTAGTCACAAGATGCGTATTTAGACATTCCCAAATGGCTTGTTGAATCTGTGGGTCGCCTTGGACAAACAGCGATTCCAGCTCCCTTTCCAGTGAAAGCATCACACGATTTTTCAGGGAGTGGTGGCAATTGCTATTGAGCACGTGTCGAAGTATATCGATGCATACTAACTGCACTTGCAAAAGGTCTTCGTTTCGCAGGAGCCCTGAAAGTAGTCGGACAATCTGCTCTATTGTTTTTACGGAGATATTGCATATTGTGTTGCAACAGTGAAACAAAGAGTTCAAGTTGCTCAACGTTTCCAATACCCGTTTCTCATCTTGTTGCTCTTCTATTGTCTTTAAGACTGTCCAAATCAGTCCGTCAATATCTGGTGATCCCATTGCTGCAAGACGAAACTGGTTTGATTACGTATTTCCGACTGTTCAACGCTATTAAGTTAGTGTGACTAGACTACTGCGTTTGCAACTACTTTGCTCCTCAAGCTGAGTGAAGTACGTTGTACTATTTTACCTTCGTTCTCGTGATTTAGTAAGAACAAATAAGCTAGCAAACCAACTACAGAACGAGTTGCAGCGAAGGTTTCAACAACGATATGGCTTGTTCGGAGTGACCTCAGTTAAATGCGCACAAAACTGTTTGATCTGGTATCATGCTGTTGAACTAGTTGAACTTTAATATTAGATCAGATGACTTGTGCTTTCTAGTTGTATAAACGACGGTTAGTAGCTTTTGTCTAAGAACTTATTAGTGATCAGAGTTGCAAACAACATGGAATTAAATTTAAGCAACATGATGTATTGACTAAAAGTCTTCGGGATGAACATAGTTGATTTACGGGCACCTGACGAGCCGCAGAACAAATAATACGGAAGCTACTCAGCTAGCATTTGAATAACGATGATGTATGAATTGTATAAACCAAGGTAAGGTATTTTGCTAACATCAGGAAGTCTGTTAACGATTGTCTTTGGATGATAAGAAAGCGTATGCCACTTGTTAATCCGTAAAAGGGTACAGAGGTCGAAATGTTGAACTGACTGACGTCGGCCCACCAGTCCGTATATAATCCGCGTTTGATTCAAACCAAATTATTTCATCCTAGGGACGCAAAATATAGCAGTATTGGAGTCTTATGAATATTTTGTTCAAGTGATGTGTCTAGTGAATCAACAGACAGACAAAAAAGAATATCAAAAATGGAATGCTACCTGCCAGTTTTGTTTAATTAATGTGACATACGACACTTGCGTTCTAGTTTTATGGGTTTAAAACAAGTACAAAATGACATGACGTAATAGACATGCTTAAGCAACTCATTTTGCATTAGTGAGTGACACATCTAAATTCGACTGAGATGTAGCTAAAATTGCTTACTTGTAGTGAGCATAAGTATTAGATTGCAAGAACGCACCTGCTTTAGAGCAACGTGATTATGGGGATTGAGAATGATTTCGCCACACAGCTGTTCCCAAAAAGAAGAATTATGGTTTTAAAAAGAGTGGTTAAGTGTGGAAAATAGCAGACCACGGTTATGATAATTATCGTGTACCAGTCTGTTAACAAATAAAATGGACACAGATGCCACTCAGGATAGCTATGGCGAAATCCAGGCAACGTGGACTTGAAGCGAGTCTGAATAGTATAGTGGAGTTTGAAGCAGACAGTAGATCATTATATAATATTTGAAGGCTCTGTTTGTGGTTGATTCGACTTGAGTATTGTAACCGCAGTATTAGGATGGTAACATTAAACGACAGTGCGCGACGCAACATTATAACAGTACAGATTCCAATCCTAACTAAGTTATTCTAGCCTCTATCCTGAAAAACTGATACATTTAGAGGAAGGAGTTAAGGAATAGGTGGAATGCAAGAAACAAAATAGGGTTCGCTAGCTAATAAAGGAACTACAGATTCAGTTGTTCATTTGTTCTCCGAGCGTGGCGGTTTTGTCGCAAACGTTTCACCACCATGCGAGCTGGCATCCTTAGTGTAGTTGAAAGTGGAGTGTAATCTTAGTGAATAAATCCTCTATCCTTGATCGCCCTGCAGGGGACTTTTGAAAATGGCAGTAGATTTACGTCCCGTGACCTACGCCTACTTTCCCCTAGACTAAAATCGGCGCCCGAGTTGTTCTGTCTTAAACTGCGGGACAAAATGTTCTTTATTTCTTTCTGTCAAAGTGATTCGTATATTGAATCGATGTCCACGCGCATTTTGTTTGAGTTTTTCTTTGAGAACCAAGCTCCCAGGAATTCCCTTTATTACTTGTTTCACTCCGTGCCAGGACTTCTGCTTTGCTCCAATCGAAGCTGTGTCCTTCTTCATCTAAATGCAATGAAACTAATAACGGTGCATAATGCTTTACACAGGCTCTTTTATTTTCTTGTATCCTTGTTACCAGTTTTCTTCCCGTCTGGCCAACTTAATCCCAATCGCAATCCCGGCAACGTATTTACTAGACCACATTGTGTTGTTCGTATGCCTGCAGTGTTTCTTGTTTTTGGAAGGGTTTTCCTCAACGTGGTAGTTGGTTTGTCTGCCACGATGCGATGATGTTGTTTGAACAGTCTGGCTGCCATTTCCGATATGTTCTTCATATAAGGCAGAACAACCCGTTTCTCCGTTGTGGTTGTTGTTGTTGTGGTTGGTGCAGGTGGTGTTGCTGCTGCTGCTACTGCTGCTGCGGTTGTTGTTGTTGTTGTTATTGTTGTAGGCTGCATGTTTACGGTGTTGTGATTCAGACAAATTCGGATGAAGCTTCGTGGGTATCGGTTGAGTTGGAAACATTTAAATAAGCGCTTTGCTTCCTTTTGCTTTACTTCTATGGTATTGTAGTGTGTTTGCACTCTGCGTTAAAGTGAGGGTTTCGTCAGTTTTGGCATACAAATCGGTTTTGTATAAGCCTTTATTCTAATTACATTGCGCACATGAAATAAAAACGTTTTACGAGCATTGAGTGTTACTGCGAAAATTCGTCATGTTTGGCACTCAACTTATGCCATCCACACATGATGGTGTTAGCATTCAATTATTGTAACCCCATTCTCTTCTCTGTAGCTATGTCAACCACCTGGTCAAACCTTTCCTTTTACTGATTTCGGTAATTCTATGGTTTCTGTTACGATCAAGCAAGTTTCAAGAACGTCTTAGAAATCATTGTGGGTCTAAGTTTACTTATCCAATTGGATAATCGATTCGAAATGGCACACTGAATGGCTGGGAGAAAGATAGTGAAACAGAATTTTGCACATCATTTTCGCAATGCAGATTTCCCGAATCGATTATCGGACTCTGCGTTTCTTGTCATGTAGTTACCCAGGTTTGGAGACTAATCCTATTTTACCGAACCTTGGAACGGTAAATGTACACTTCAGTTTGACGTAGCGATACCGGATAAGTTACAAAAGTATGAACCCGGCTGAGATGCATCAGTGTGGACAACGATCAATTGTGAAGATTTGCGAACAAGTGATGCACTGATTCTAAAGAAATTTAGCTACTTTCTCTGAAACTGTATCAGCTGGTAGGGTCATAAGTTAGCAATGAGCGAGTTGCTATTTTGTCCTTGAACTTTTGAGGTAATAGTTAAACGACCGGCGATCGTTAGATCATTTAAACATTTTAGAACTAATCACAGATAATGTGTCCTTGGCGTAGCGACCAACCTTCAAAGAGGATGCTAATACAAGCTGTGGTGAAATTACCAGTGATGAAATTACCAAGCACTAGCATGTATCGAGAGCCATCTAAAAGATTTTAATCTCGGATACAGCTTCATTGATGTTTCATTATGAGTTAATTGTTGTGTCGAATGATTGTGAAAAGCACACCAATTTCGAACCGCGTTTTAGTTGTTATGAAGCGGAATCGTTTTGTTCATTGACCTGAATTTAATAGAATTTAGGCGTTATTTATTACTCATTTATCCGATGGAACCGGCCGCTGGTTTCAAGTTAACCTGAATAATTTTATCTTCTTCATGTACCGATCGCTGATGATATAAAAGTATCGTAATCAGAAGAAGCAGTTTGCGATATTCCTAACAAACTGGGTCGTAGATTTCATTGAGGTTTCTCATATCTTTTGTAATAGAGTTGGTTGTATCCTACTTATTACAGCTTTGTTTAAACAGATGTTCTTGCATGAAAGCATTTGCAGAATTTAGTGAAACAAAATTGAAGGATGATACCGGGGTATATTCACCAGCCACTAAAATTACTACTTCCTATTTGCTTGCCAGCTAGTCTATTTCACTGGCAAAAAACGCAGGTTTTAAGACCCATTCAATTTTGATGAGTCATCCATCCATCTTTGTTCCGTAGCCAAGTTTTCAGCGATCCATTCCTATAATCCGGTAGGTGATTTTATGGGAGAACATGGCAGATTAGGAGGCAGCTCTCAGCCCCTTTGGGTGATAGGTTCTACAACAAATAGTTCAAAACGTGAATGCGCGTTATCCTGGTGGATTGGGTTATTGTTCTTTGTACGCAATCTGTTCATCTCAACTGTAGCGCAAGAGCGCTCAAGCTGAACCACATAGATGTCGCTGTGGTTACTTTATTGTCACACCCTTTCTGTTCAGAAAATATAATAAAATTTATTTGCAGAAAAATTAAATATCCTACTTATAAAGAATAATTTCCGAAGAAAATTCACGACGTACTGACCTAATATTTTGTGCCGGTTGATACTAAGTCTTTAGGTTCTTTCTATTCTTAACTTAGCGAAAAATGTATAATCGCGCGTTATAAAACCATTGTCTAGACATATTTGTACGCATATTAGGGCTCAAATTTCATCACGACTGCAGTCAGATAAAGAGCAGTAGAATTATCAAGTACAGAACATAATCAGATTTAAAGTTACCCATCACCGGTTGTCTCTTACTGTATCATCATATATTGCAATGGTATACATTATTCATTATATGTGACTCGAAAAGTGGTTCCATGCACTCATTGTGGAGCGGACAACGGTTCAGCCACCGCCTTGTGCGCGATTGACTCCCAAGTACAGTGTGATTCTGTTTGCCTATGATGGATTGTAGGCCTGCTCCGTGGATGAAATGTGGCTCCTATTCACCTGCCTCCCAGTCTTATTCCTTCAGGTTTACACGGTATATGGGGTGTGAAATTTGAGCTGTGGGTGGTGCAGCAAAAGCCAACCATGGTCCCTCTGTAGGTGCAGGTGTCCTGTGGCTGGCCAGAGTGAGGCAAATCCGAAACCGGATGTCGCCAACCATACCGTTTGGGCGGTATTCTCTTTTTTATTTGTGTTACTGGGTGCTGCGACCAGTGCTAATTTGAAGGTCATTATGCATTAGTATCAGTGCGTTAGTTGAAAGTACAGCTAAAGGGGGTGAAAAACTTCCCAAATGG